CAGGGGAAGCGCGGGGCTGAGGTGAGTGAGAGTCTGGCCTGGCCCTGAGCAGGCAGGACTCAGTTGGGTGGTAGGGAGAGGAGGGGGGCGGCCCACGGGGCCAGGCAGCGGCTGCTCTCCCCCCCTGGGCAGCGGGACTCAGGAGCAGCCACTGCTGCAGCTCCCACTGCCGCGGGGGGAGGTAGCGGCCGATGGCCAAGCTCGGCGGCTGCGGCTCTGGCGCCCAGGCCTGCTGCGGGGACCCAGCAGCGTGTACGCTGCGCCCAGCCCCTGGCCAGTCGCGTCTGGGCTGCTGCCCAGCTGGTGCTATCCCACGGCGGCCCTGGGGCGGAGGCATCGGCAGCCCAGCCCCATTTGTTCCCCTGCGGGACCCGAGCGGGACAGGGGGGCTGGGGCCTGCTGCCCCACTCCGGGGCCGCCGCGGGATAGCACCAGCTGGGATAGCACCCCGCCCCCCCCCCCGCCGTCACCCTCCCCCGCATCCCAATATTTGACTTGGGTGATCTGGTCACCCTACACTAATGTCACCTTCATCAGCCCGGCTGTTAAGGAAGGCCTTATATTCAGCTGGTAAATATGCCCAATGGTCTGTGATGGGATGTTAGATGGGGTGGGATCTGAGTTACTACAGAGAATTCTTTCCTGGGTGCTGGCTGGTGAGTCTTGCCCACATGCTTAGGATTTAACTGATCGCCATATTTGGGGTCGGGAAGAAATTTTCCTCCAGGGCAGATTGGCAGACACCCTGGAGGTTTTTTGCCTTCCTCTGCAGCGTGGGGCACGGGTCACTTGCTGGAGGATTCTCTGCACCTTGAGGTCTTTAAACCACGATTTGAGGACTTCAATAACTCAGGCATAGGTTAGGGGTTTGTTACAGGAGTGGGTGGGTTGTGCAGGAGGTCAGACTAGATGATCATAATGGTCCCTTCTGACCTTAAAGTCTATGAGCTGCTATAACTCAGCCGTGAGGGTTTACTTAAGGCCATCACTATGCACATTCATTCTCAGTTCACATATATTTAGTTCCCAAATTATTGCCTGCCTTGGCCATTTCTACACCTACAAAATCCAAGAGACTGAGCTAATAAAGAAACTCCCATTCTTAAGCATTTTGCTGATTTCAGACTGCAGGCATAAACAAAATACGGGTAATCCCGTTATGTCACATGACACTCCAGACACAAATTCCAGCATAGTTCTAACTCACTCATAGAAAGTTATTTCAAAATTAGCTTTCTGCGTTTAATTATTCCATCAATAGCATGATTCTAAGTCTCCTGGAAAGAAGCTTAGTGCTTTTCATATAATCTTCTCAGCTGGGAAAGGACAATGCGGTTTTTCCTTCAGCATGTATGTTCTAGTCCTTTATGGCCTATTCTCTCCACTGCCTGGTACTATCCCAGTAGGTTGGGATCTGTTTATTTAAAGGGACAGTTCAAACTGACTGGTGACAACATTAATTATCACAATATGAGCAAGCACTGGCTTACCACTGCAGTCAGCTGCAAGGCATCTGTGATACAGCATCACGCCCCGGTCACAGAAATCCTGTTAATCCTGACCAACTGACAGTCAGTTTAAGCCTTAAGTGCCTTAAAGTGCACAGACTTTGTCCTACTGTGGGGAAGTTACATGGCTTGATGGGTCTATGACGCACTAAACACCATCATCTGAAAGCCAGCACAATGTCTTGCATATGTTGTGGGAGGCTGGACACTTGCAATCATTTGCAGTTACATTGTTCAGGGGATGGACTAACTGAATTTAGGGCCAGTTTTAGACAAAGCTGATTCAGAAGCAGAGAATGATTTTGAACACTTCCAAGTACCTGTACTGAGGAGGAATTGGAGGCCGCTCGCCGCTCTCTTGTTAACCTCTGTGGATGTATAATTTCATAGGAAGACAAATGAGAGGTCTGCTGGAAACCTAGAAAAGAAAAAGCAAATGCTGTCACATTCATGTCACTAAGGAAATAAAACAGACAGACCATGCCCAAGGAATGAAACAACTTCTCTTTGGAAGGATGGTCCAGGGGTTAAGGTGCAAGTTTGGGATTTGAGAGACCCGGGTTCAATTACCTGTTCTGCCACAGACTTCCAGAGTGACCTAATGCAAGTCACTTAGCCTCTCTATGCCTCAGTTATCTATCGGTAGAAACAGGACAATAGCACTGCCCTACCTCTCCTGGGTGTGATGAGGATAGACACATTGTTAGGTGCTCAGATACTACAGTAATGGGAGCCACATAAGTACCTATGATAAATTTGGAACCAGACTGACTCTTATAACTGGCTTTCTATCTAAGACATTTTATTTTTAAATTGATACAAATGAAGGTATTAACCACTGATAGCATACTTAATATCAGGTATGGTATCTTCTTCACACAAATATAGGATACTATCCAACCTTCTGCATCAAAGAGGGACAAACTAAGAAGCTTATACTCAGCATTTAATGACCGGACTAGAGGAAGAAAATAAATTCTGCCAACCAGCCTATTGTTCATGAAAGTATCGTACTCCAAGGCAGCAGCATATGTTTAAAAAGATCAACTCCCTTCTGAAGAGGGTGCTTCTGACAGGTGCAGGGGAGCACAGGGCAGAACACCACCCATCCGGATAAAAACTTTCAGGCCACAAAATGACTTACGAATACACACTGCCACAAAATACAGTGATCACCTGAGAACTGGAGAGTAATAAACTAAGTTAGCCAGACTGCCTCAAATAAGAAGCTCATTCAAGACTCAACAATCTGATAGTCTCTTAAAATACCAACAACAATACCTTACACCTTTCATGATGTTTCAAAGCACTGTATATCAGTATCATTATCCCCATTATGATATATGGGGAAAATGAGGCACAGAGAGGGGTAGGAACTTGCCCAAGGTCACCCAGCAGACCAGTGGCAGAGCTGGGAATGGAACCCCCACGTCTCCTGAATCCACATCCACTAGGCCCACTGCCTACCTAGATTATACTAGAGAGGCTCCTAAAACCTATTTTTCTCCCTCCCCAGGGTGTAACAGCAGCAAACCCAGGCAGCAACTCCTACAAAACTCAGCAATGCCAGTCAAAGCTTTTACATGTTAAAGGCTGTTCAAGCACAGTAGGCCACAAAAGGGCATTTTAAGGACTTCCTGAATGCATGCAATATATAATGGAGAAGTAGCCTCTTTCAGGAGAAAGTCTAGCATAGAATATTGTTGTTATATACAGGATTTATACAGGCATCCTAGCAACATGATGCAGATGCTTCCTAATAAGAACAGCTGGACAACTGAGTTGGGATAAAATGCTTCTAATGAATTTACGCAATAAAATAAGGTAGCACATGTGGGTGTATGATCAGCCAAAAAAACCCAGGGTCTGTGCTTAAGCCAACAGCCATTCCCCTTGGAAAGATGGTGATGGGAGCTACACAAAGGGTTTTAAGTACAACAGATTTTACTGGCACATAACAGTGGAATCAATGAGCTCACCAGAAGGGCACAAGCTTTAAAACCTAAAATAAAGAGGGAGGGAAATATTTCTATTTCCTGTAACAATTCAGCTCCAAAACTACATTGCCATTCTTGTAGTTTATGATCGCTGAGGATCTTCCACAAGGAAATGTCTACAGTCCAACTGGAGCTCACACTAGCTGTTTGCCACAATGGGAGGAAAGGGAATAAAGCAGCTACTGACCAATACACAGCACTTATTTTAAAGCAGCAGCTCAGCTTTGAAGAACAACTCCATTTTCTACTACAGAATGTATTTACTGCTTTGTAAGTCACACTTTGGGTCACCACCATGACGTAAGCACTCTCCCACTGGTGGCCTGCTCCATCACTGGAGAGTAGGTTGGAGTTTTCAAAAGGCATCTAAGAGAGTTTGAAATTCAATGAGACTTGGGCCACCAACTCTTTAGGCTCCTTTAAAAATACCATCCCTCATCATCATCATGGCTAGCAAACTGCACTGAAATTTTAAACATCTGGGAGCACTCTTTGCTTGGCCACTTGCTGCAGGGATTTTGAGGAAGTTGGGTAAGACAGTCTCTCCAACAGGGATTGGTATTAAAATAAGCCAAAACATCTTACGTATTTAAAGCACCGTGCCAGTTTAACACTGCCTCTCCGTGTTAATACTGCACACACATCCCCAAAAGCCCTTTTATTCCAAGCACTGCTGTCCTGCGGTCCAGCTGATGGAGCTCAGCAGGTACGTTCCTTAAAAAGGACAGCAATTTTAACTCTGGAGTACCTTTCCTGTTCAAGTATTTGGCTCTGAACAAATAACAGTCAGTTTGGGGGGTCGAGGTCCATGTGTGCTAGACACAGACTAGTAGCATTTTGCTTTGACAATACTGCCTTGTGTCACCATGGCTACTCCCTAGATCTGAGTTGGGGTCCCCTAAGGCTGTTCTTGATTCAGCACAGGTATCACTGTAGAATTATGAGGCCTTTCACACTTGAGCTATATCTTCACTGACAAACAATCTGTGTTTTTACCATGGCAGCAGCAACCCGGATGTCAAAACATACTGGAGACAAGGCACTGCAGTTTTACCATGAAGTAAACTAGGTAAAATCCATCACAAACAAAGGATATAGGGTCCAGCCTCCCTAGGTACTTTGCAGTAAAAGTTACAGGTGCCTTGTCTCCACTTGGTTATCTCACTATAAAATCCTAAGGCATGTCAGTTCTCATTAAAACAAAGAAGCCTTTTTGTCAGTGAAGAAAAAACTTTTGAGTTTTACTTACTAGTAGATTCCTGCACCAGTCCTGCTGTTCACTGACCGTTCAGTGCACTCTGCACTGTACAGACAGAGAAGGACAGGGAGCTCTGTCTATATTACACTTATGCAGTACAGTTCAGACATTTTTGACACAAGAAGAGGGTGGGGGGTAAACTTACCCATGGTGCAGCTTTCTGCTTCTCTCTAGTGGATCATTGCTGAAAGGGTTGACAAAAAGGAGGACTCTCTTACTATGAGATACGTAGCTCTGCCTTGCAAACCCAGAGAGGAACTGTACCCTATGTTTAATGATGGATACTTCACTGAGAAGAGAAACACAAACCTAACCCCCCCCCCCCCCAGTTTTTAATCAGAGAGTTTATCCAAGTCTGTTTTGTCCACACAACATGAGACTCTGCATGTCTTTGGCCTTTTTAAAGTGCTCTCAGACAGACGGGTACAATGGCACTCTGTACAATGGCAACTAGTTAATTGCTAAATTAAACTTTGGCTTCCATGGCCCGGCCCAGCCCATCTTGAACTCCCTGTTGACAGGGTCTGGCTTCAGGTAGAGAACAGCTGAATATATCTCTTTGTGTATGTCAGAGAACAATGGACTGCCTGCAGTTGGCTCGGCCCCTCGTGGGAGAAGAGATCTGAATGTGAGGGACTCATCTCAGAACCAGGACTCCAGTCCCCCACAAGGCAACACGTCAAGCTGCCACTAGACTGACAGGCCAATCCAAATCACATTTGTGATATTGCAATTAATAATAAAATCTAGCTCATATATAGCACCTCTCATCAACAGATCTCAAAGCCCTTTCAAAAGAGGTCGGATCATTATCCCCATTCTACAAATAAGGAAACTGAGGCACAGAGAATTGAAGTGACTTGCTCAATGTCACCCAGCAGGCTAGTGGCAGAGCAAGGAATAGAACCAGGTCTCTCAAGTCTCAATTCAGAGGTTTTAAACATCACCAGAATCCCATCTTATTCTACAATAATATTGTATCCTGGAAGCTAACTCTCCACTGTACTGTGATCTTGTGAACTAAGTGCTGGTTAAATTTGCCATCAGTAAGGCCCTACATAACTCCAGCCCTGGCTATGTATCTGACCTAGCTTTGTCTATTAGCACCCCTCACCCGCTCTGCTGTCAGCAATGCCAATCTAGATACCCCATTCTTCTACTTTTCCCCACAGACTCCTCCATGCATTCTTTTACTTCTCTCCCTAAGCCAGGGACACCCTCCCAGCTCCAATCCACCAAGCCATCCTCTCAGATCTCTCCTTAAGACTCAGTTTTTCTCCAATGCTCACGAGAGGGGACCCAATAAATCAGCAGTATATTTATCCGTTTATAAAGTCTTCAAATGTGCACACATCTAAACTGAGCCACCACATGATCATAATACAACAGTCTTTACGGACGCTTCCTCATCCCCTCCTCTTTTCCTATTTTTACATGCTTGCTCATGTCTAGATGTATTGGCTTTAAGCTCTCTCTCTTTTTGTTTCCGCAAGGCACCTCGCACACCTTTGGGCACAGTTACAAAACTAAAACTAACAGTGATCTACAGAGGTACTGAAAAACAAGCCTGCACAAAAGAAGACCCGCTTTTCCTATCTTAGGTGGCAAACAGCATCTGGAAGACTCTTCATAGCCCTGAAAAGCTAATCATTTTCCTCACCAACAATTGGGCTTATGCCCAGAATTAGTTTTAAGGACCAGACAGGTTCTGTATTGACACTGCTGCAGTGACAAATAGAGATTGGAACCCCAGGCACTTTTCCACCAACAATATCTCAGCCTGGAAGCAAAAGCAATTAGAGTATTTTCAATTCCGGTCTCCCACACTCTGCTATCCACTCAGAGTTTCAAATCACACTAGCAAAGTGTAGTCACTCACAGAGCTACAACACTTCTTGGAAAAGGAAGGTGTAGTGCATATACTGCAGTAAAACATTCTTTAGTTACTCTGATTTATTGATTGGAGGATATGCCAGAAGGCTATAACCCCAGCTCACAATAGCCCTTGTTCATAAAGTCTAGAGAGGGTAAAGAGCATCCGACAGTCACATCCTCAGTCAGAAGATAACAGAGGGAAGGGACGCTTCCTTCCCTGGGATAAGCCACCACAATCTACACCAGGGGTCGGCAATGTTTGGCACGCGGCTCGCCAGGGTAAGCACC